AGTCTCCTGCAGCCTCAACTGGTGCTACTAGATTTCATACCATTTGATTGTAAGCCTTTCAGCTGCGCTTCAAGTCAGCTCGAGATCTCCCACGCGTGACCGGAGTCTGCACCTCCCGCGGGCACCCTATCACAAAATCTTCCATTCATAACGAGATGAGCCCCAACCCGAAATATCATCTTTCAATCGTGCAGCTCCTTCATGCCTGGATATCACGGTTGCACTATCAATATCAAGTCTGATAGCATTTTAAACTCAAAACCCGAGTATGCACGAAACAATTGGAGGGCAAAGTTTCTGTCTGTCCAACTCGTACTACGTGTCCGTATGCGGCAATAGTACTGTACTGAATCGTTAGCGTGGCCTGGAGAACCGAAACGAGCAACAAACGATGTGTACTGGTAAACTGGTAAGGTTCCGGGCCGAGAACACGTTATTTCGTACCTTGATCTGTGTCTCAAGAAGAGTGCCGTGACCCGCGACCAGTAAAATACAGATCATGTCTTTCCGTCGTGACAGACCAAGTACACACGGACGAATCGCTTCATGGTTGGCGCTGTTGTCCTGGGTTCCTATATACGTAAGCTTCTCATTCTTAAAGATACAGCGTCCCTGTCTGCTGAACAATTAAGCCAAAGTTTTGCTATGTGTAATTTCATTTCCAGGTTTTTTAAAAAAAAATATTAGAGATGTCTCTAATTTACTTCTGATCTGAGAAATTATAGATGCAGTCTTTAAAAAAATCAGAAGCACAATCCTAAGGAATGTCAGTGCTCAGCATAGCTCAGTGCTAAACAAGTGAACTTTGAAGTTGAAAATGTAAGTTAATACGGTATGACGCCTCTATACAGGGCTACAGGTAGATGAATCAAGTTATTTTCAAAATAAATTAAAAAAGATCCTCAGATCAATTAGCTATTAGTAGACATGTAAGGTAAATGTGTCCAGTAGCCTCTGCTCATCTGTAACCATTCTTATGCAATGTTCAAAGCTGTTTCTGATGTAGAGACAAAGTATTACTTTAATACTGTGATGCACTTATTTTCCTACCTTCAATTCAGGAAGAGATCTGAGAGCATATAGGAGACCAGACTCTTGCAAAAGGTGCACAACATTTCACTAACTGCTTTCAGGGCTGGCACAAAATCTGCTTCTGGGCTACTGCTTTGTGCTCAGTTTGTGATTTAGACTACACAAACAACTCCTGCGCTATGTGACCTTTAAAGCTAATCTATTAAATTAAATTCAATTTATTTTTATAAAGCGCCTTTCACCCCAAGGTGCTTTATTCCTTTATTTTTAAAGGTAATAACTGAAATACTGCCAGCAGCCATTTCACTGAGCCGCTCCCAGCTGGCTGCCCACTGGAGCTCAGCAGGGCTGAGCCTGGCCAGTACCTGGATGGGAGACTCCTGGGAAGCTATGGTTGGCACTGGAAGTGGTATTAGTGGGACCAGCAGGGGGTCTGTGGTCTGTGTGGGTCCTAATGCCCCAGTATAGTGGCGGGGATTATACTGTAGTGTGCGCCGTCATTCAGATGAGACGTTAAACTGAGGTCCTGACTCTCATTGGTCATTAAAGATCCCTGGGCGTTTCTTGATAAGAGTAGGGATTTATCCTGGTATCTGGGCCAGGTTTCCCCTCTCACCCTTTACTGTGGCCCCATGTAGGATTGGCTTGCACTTGCCCTGCGATGGACTGGCGTCCCATCCAGGGTGTACCCTGCCCTGTGCTCGTTGCTTGCCGGGTAGGCTCTGCTTTCTATCCTATCTGTCCTAAAGTGCTTTCTTTCCGATTGTTGGTACTTGAATTCTGTGAAGTTGGTGTTTTCGGCATCGGGATTGGTTCAAACACGTCACCTTGAAAGCAGAACCTTTTCATTTGGAAGAATCCTGTTAATCAGAGGCTCAAGTGTGCAATGCATGACTAGATTATAATTTATTTTTCATTAGAAATTGATACCAAAATAGAGGAAAACAGAAAAAAGCATAAAGAGTTTTCAGATTAATGGGTGCCCGTTGGCATTTTCAGAGAGCTCTTCAATGTCCACTGCTCGTAGGACAAATGTACAGCCCCAGGAGACAAGGTCAGTTTTTTCCTTTTAACGAAAACATGAACTGAAGATCGTAGCTCAAGCAGTCTTGCCGGGTCGTGTAAAATTCTGATCCTTTTGTGGTTTGTGCTCTGATGCTTTGGACACATCTGTTTCTTTACCCTTCCAGAGGCAGTCTCCTGGAGCTCCTTCTCAAATCTGGTTGGTCTCATGATCTGCCAAGAGAGCACATGACTCAGTGTGTAACTCAAGTTGATAGGAAGTGATAGAAGTTAATTAACTCAATGATTGTGGTGATAATAACAGACAGCTCTGCATCTTTTTAACTCGATCTCCCAGTCATCAGAAACAGACAGATCACAGAAATCACTGTGCTCAAGGGACGGACAACAAAATGGTGCCCCCTGGTGGAGCATGAGTGCTCTTACCTTCTTCAGGGCATGGATAGGTGTATTCTGATGTAGCCTGCTCACCTGGAAGATACAATGAACATCCTGTGAGAGGCAGACCTTCTGGCAATTTACTGTGGTAAATTAATATTTTATTTACATTATATTTCTCCGCACTCAGACCCACATCATAAGCTGACTATGCTGCAGACACCCAGACAGTAAAGTAGTCTTAACAGATCTTAAGGTTTACTGCAAGAAAAGTAAAATTAGAGCATGCCATTGGGCCTTTTTCAATAAACAATTCAATTGGCCAATTATTCTCTCATTAGAGGATGCTTACTTGTCTGGTAGTAGTCGTAGATCTTGACCACAGCTGGTTTGAGTCCCTTCACTGGGTGCTCCTGGATCATTCTGAATCTGTACTGTTGAGACTTTTCTCTATGAAGCTGCAAAGGAGAAAAAGATGACTGGCATGGCTGACACTTTTGGTGGTGCATTTTAATGAAGAACAATGCAAAAGCCGAAAGATGCTTTATAAATTAAAAATCTAGTAACATTCCTGCTAATGTCTTGAGAGACATGGGAATAAGTAGGAAGATTAAATTGTGTCATGTTCCTAGTCAGGTTTGTAATAAGAATGATCAGATGAGAGGAGGCCATTCTGTCCATTTAACCTGTTTGTTAATTAGAAGCTAATGATCTGAGGATCTTAGTCATCCTTTTCTTGAAAGAAGCCAGAGTATCAGCTTCACAATAATAGGATCTCCAGTACAGTGCCACCTTGATAGAATGAGCTTTGTTATACCACCGTTTCAGTACATAAACCATGTAGAATTATGTACCCTATGATGTTTTATTTCATTACATTGCAGGTTGGAATCTCTAGCTTTGTAGAATGGCTTTTGAGCTCTGTCAAATGGACGTACTGTCCTTTAAAGACATGCTATTGGGTTGATTCTCCTGAGTCATTGACCACACTGATGCTTGTGCCTGCTCAGCAGCTGATGACTCAGAAGCACTGCGAAGGGCACAGCATTGCCTGAACTGAAACCAGAGGCTGTGAGGGCGTGAGCACCTGAGATTCTTATCCTCAGGGCTGACCATTGTTACTAGGGCAGCACGACTGCAGTAAGAATCACCACTTGAAGACTAGCGAGTTCATTTCAGTTCATTTCTGCTACCTGTCTGTAACACTGTATGAAATGTCAGGTGCTTGTCCAGGCAATTCTGTCTCATAGTTTTTGAATAATAATAATGAAGGACATGGTGTCCATGCTGCCCATGATGTTCTCCAGGTGGTATGAACTCACCCCATCTAGATACACGATCACGTGACCATCTTCAGTGTCAACACGCTTCACATACGGGGCTCCTTTTAACTGTGGGAGAAACAGACATCACATGATGACTGAGAGGCAAAGAGAGAGGAGTGCACCAGGGTCTCATTTTGAAAACTGAGTAAGAGCACTCTTATGCTTCTGTACTGACTCAGGAGAAAAATAATGGAAACAGATGGCACCAGGGAGGAGAACTCACCTCATTCAGAGTGTCTTTGTCAAAGACAAACCCAGACAGGAGCTTGACGTTCACAATCACCATGTTGGTGCTCTCTCTCTGGCCCTTGTAGCTGTGGGGTTAAAAGGAAAAAATAGTTTTGGAATGTAGCGCCAATGCTTATTAATAAGTCAAAATTAAGCGTTGCTGTGCTTTCCTAAATGAGGCCTCATCTCTCTTTCTCATCTCTGTGGTGCAGCCACAGAGAATCTATTCATGCAGTTGTGATTTAAGGTGTTTTCTCTCAGATAAGGTGCAGCTCCCAAATGGGGGTGCGCCCAGCCGTGCTTGGCTATCATGACCAATGGCCAGTCCTGGAAACTACAGTATCTGTCTGAGATTCTTGGGAACATCTGGATTGCGGTCCTAGATGTCAGAGGTCATTGTTACTCACCTCTCACCTTCACCAACCAATCAGGAACCTGCAGGGCGTGGTAACCCCACGGGGGTCTGAAATGCCCACTAAACTTTTGACCGATCATCGCATTTGCTGTACTGGGAACACCGCCACAACCTCACGAGACCAGAAACGTGCACTTGCCTCACATTGACGACAGCAGTGAGTGGCCTGCTCCTCGTGCCACTGTCACATGTCATCTGTGACTCTGCTGCAATTTGGAAGGTGGAGAAGTCAGGAGGAGGAGGGATGTTGTAGTGGAGAGCCACCTGAGAAAGGCAGGGAGGGGAGAGGAGACAGGAGCACAGTTTCATCCTTTCCAGACATTTACAATAAGTGCCCTGTGTTTGTGTCCTTTGGGGATATTGGCTAGGGTTTGGATCAAGGATGTGGTTCAGGATGAAATTAAGAGGGCTGTTCTTCTAGCCTATGTTGTATTAGGCATGCACATTGCATCTGGTTTGGTTGTTACTTGGTAAGTGATCTGAGGACCTTGCCCTTATGTTTTTGTTCATTTTAGAGTTAAGCTTAGATTTGAGAGTGGTGTCATTTTTGTAGTCCCTCAAAATCTTAGTGATGAGGGAACATTTAGGATGTATAAAAACTGACCTGGATCGACATGCAGCCTGTGCCCTGCACCTCAACACTGTACTTCCCTGGGACATCTCGCAGTGCCCTCTCCTGGTACAGCAGGCTGTTGCTGGAGTCCACAGTAAACTGGTGGAGGTCCCCCTCTGTGGACTGCGCTGTCACTTGGCTGGAGACCTCTTTGCTGAAAGCCTCCGCCCCATAGAGAGAGAGTGCCTGAAGAGCCACTACAGTGTCCTGTGCACAAGCACAAACCAAACACAATCACTGCTTGTGCTACCCTTACGCTACACAATACAGGGTCTCAGGTCACTGCACTGGAGAGTCACCCAGTCACCCAGGAGATCAGTGGGATCCAGAGCTCGATGATTCCGACAGATCCATACCTGTGTGGAAGAGAACCCTCCATAGGAGTTCTGCTGCTTGGTCAGCCAGCTAACAATCTTGGAGGCCCGGCCCAGGTCTGAGGCAGACAGCGGTGGGTGACTAAGAAGAGCCAGCAGCACATAGGAGCTCATCTCTACTGACAAGGAATCCGAACCCTCCGAGGCCGACTGAGGCCAGTGCAGAGTATCTCCTGAGGGAGAGGGAAACAGGTCAATTACCCAGGGAAGAGAGGAGGATGGCGATGGGTCCAAGGACAAGTCATGCTGAAAACTTAGAAACTAAACAGGTTCTTGGCTAGAGGTTTAATAACCTGTAAATAGGGAATAATGAATAGGATTTCATCCTCAACAATAAATGAGTCTTCACTATGTGTGTCTACATGACAGTGTATGCATTTCAGTTTGCATTTAGATTTTTTGAATTTGTTTGTATGACACTTCTCAAAAGAGAGTTCAGTTTGTACCTACATTACATAAAGAGCTGGACATTTCACACTTGTGAGGTAATCAAAGGTACAACAGCAGTGCCCCGCTTGGGAAGAGAACCCATAACCTTCCAGTTTCAAATCAAAAGCCCAAACCCCACTCGGCTCTTTGTGTGCAAGTGCGTGTCTGCTCTTCCCAGTGTACTTCCACCGTTAGGTATCTGTGCATTTTGAGAAGGGTGCCGAGCTGCAGGAGGAGGAGGCTGTACCCTCTCTGCTGGCCAGAGTTTCTAGTTCGGTCCATAGTTGTGCTCTGGTGTCCTCGTCCCTGGCCAGAGTGAAGGTGTAGAACAGCAGGGCTGCAGTGTAGATATTGGTCAGGTTCTGGGTGGCAGAGCGCAGGCAGGAAAGGCTGCTGTTCAAGACCTGGTCCTGAGAGAGGGAAGAGCTCAGTGACTCCCTGACCCACACGCGCTCAGTCAGCTTTTGCTTGAGGCTGTTCCTTTCCAAGGCAGGGTCTTGGAGCAGTCTATACAGCTAGCCTACAATGGGGCTGTGGCTAGAATGACATCTAGGAAGGTGGAACCTTCAGCTTTATTTTAATAAGTTGTTTTATCTACATGATTCAATTTAGACTGAGCAAATTAGCAGCTTGAACAAATTCCCTGGAAAGACATGAAACATGCTATAAAGCCACTACAAATGACAGTCATGATCTACAGAAACACCCTTTTTTGGCTAAGGAATAAAGGATCAATTTGTTTTTGATGTAATTAACTTTAGCAGGAGTAAGTAGAAAAGACACTGTGTGGACTCGGCCCACCTCACAATTTAATATAGTTTATAGGAAATGATAAAAAATAAATTAGGGCTTAAATATATGGGGGTGTTGTTCATTTTCAAATCCCAGTATGTGACCCGTGAGCAGTGAGGGGAGGAGAGTACTCTTGCCATGAATTACATATGGACTAATAAAGCTGACCCACAGGGTCACTGTACAAATTGATTGATAACAGGTCCTTGTCCTTGAGTTGGCTGCAGTTTGTGTGTATTGTGTGCGCTGTTCACTCTGGCTTCCACCTCACAGTCCTGTAGGCAAGGACCCAACCAGGACTACAGTGTCTGTGCAGTGTCAGTGCAGTGCAGGCCGACACAGAACAGGTGGAGAGCACGTGGTCACTCACTGTCCTAGACATGTTGAGCTCCAGCATGGCTGCAGAGACGTAGGCAGTAAGGGTCACCTCATCGCTCACACCTCCCTGAAACACAGACCTCACTGTATGACACACAGGTTTACAATCGTATGATTCACAGCCCACCACATGTCAATTACAACTATCACAAATAGTCCATGCAGTATTCCACACAACTCTATCGCATAGCACACCCTGGGCACACGTTCCCAGCTGTTTAACCCTCTGTGCCCCTCTCTCCCTCACCTTCATCCTGTTGTTAAAGAGCCTGCCCACACTTTGGAAGCAACCATTGGGCTGCTGGTGACGGGTGAGCCAGTTCATGGTGCTGGAGATGATGTTGGGGTCAATGTAGATATAGGACTGGGCTCCGCCAAAGGACTTCATCACAAAGGCAGTCAGCCTGAGGAGAGGAGAGAGTTGGAGGTAAAGTCTCAGTAGCTCAGCATGGAGCCCCCACAGGTGGTCTCTTACAGGACTAAGCAATGCAGACCTATCATTGCAGAAACACCATAGCCAGTCTGTGCTTAGCAGATTGATCACATTAGTGATGTTTCTGTATTGACTGCAGTGTAGTGGGGCCGCTGTGTGTTGTCCAGGTTGGTGCTGCACTTCAATGATGGATGAAGAAGGCCCCTCCTACAGTATGTGTGGTGTGACTGGGAATCTTTCGGGATGAAACACTCTATAGAAATGTTTATATTACTTTTTGACTCAGATGCTGACTAACATAAAATAAAATCAGTTTAAGAATTTTAAGTGACATCTTTCTTGCCGACTAGAGAGGATGAAAGGTGAGTCTGTGTGTGTCAGGGCTGCCTGGCCTCCTGCCCGCTCACCATGTGTTTCCAGAATCATCACTGTTCCCAAAGGCACTGTAGGAGCCATCAAAGCGCATGTAGTTGAGCTGCCTCTGGTAGCCTGTCCAAGGTGGAGAAACAAGACATGCCGCAGCTATTGAAGAATCTGATACTTGTACTGATTAGAATTTGGTGTGGTTTTCCTTACAGTGAAATCTTAATGGTCAATTTGAATAACTTCAGTTGAATAAATTGGTAGTTCACTAAAGGATAAGTTAGGGAACTGAGAAGCTGGAACACAATGCAAATGGTAGTAGGGTCACAAGATCCAAATATGGTCTGCTATTTGCATTGCAAATGATTAAGAAAGCATACATCCATGTGATAAATTTGAGTAGTCTTGTTCAGTTATATAGGTCCCAGTTTTAAACTCTGGAGATAGAAAATTTGTTTATTCTGTAATTTTATTCCACAAACTTCAGGGGTAACATTTGTCTTCTCTGTATCGACAGCTTGGTCCCTCCTACCGCTCTTCAGGAACTCTGTGGCTCTGTTCCTGATCTCCTGTGTGAGTTGACCTGTGCTCTCCAGGTACTTTAGGATGTAGATGTTAGGGGCAAATAGCACCATGTTCTGCTCTCCACAGCCGTAGGGCATGGCTAGGAGTCGGTCCAGGTTCTGTAGGGCCCGGCCCAACAGGTCTCCTGTACACAGAAAAACAAGGGATTGGAGGGTTGCTCTGTCAGGACAAAATAATTTGCTGAGGACAAAGTTTATTTAATCACGTGTTCATGCTAAAGAGTGATAAATTAGATTGTTTTCTATACTGTATTTACCCAGAACAGAGAGTGAGGCCCTGGCTGATCCCTCCACAATGTCTTCTGGTAGCTGGAGCTGGACCTCCTCCTTCACCAGGCTGCCTGCAATGGGACAGGACAGTGAGGTACAGGGAAGAGCAATCAAGGGGTAGCTTGGATGACTGGGTGAGGGGGAGACATGTGTAAACAAGTCTCTCTGGATTTCCATTAAGACGCAGAGAGAACGGGTTGGAGATTTTGAGAGAAAGAGATGAGGTGTGTTCATTCTTGTTCTTTTATAACTGCTGTTCCTTCTCATCAGTCCCAGAGAAATACATTGTTCTGTATTTATCAGTTCTAACACACAGCCACAATCACTTCTGAAAGTTCTCATGTCAGAAAGAGTTTTTGTGCATTGCACTGTGTTTCTAAGAAGTTTTTTTTTAACCAAACTCCCATGAATAAGCTGAGGCAGCTGAAAGTCAGTGTCAGACATTAGAGAATCTCATAAGAGGTTTATTCCATGCCGAAAAAAAGAAGAGAGAAAACACAACGTTTCGTCCGTGGAGCCTTCTTCAGGTGTGGCCGTGGATTACTCAACTCCACGGCCGAAACGTTGTGTTTTCTCTCTTCTCTCTGCTATTTTTCATCATGGAATAAACCTATTACTTGTTCCTTTGCAGCCTACCCATGCTGACGCAACTCCCAACCTGATCTATTAGTGAATCTCACAGACTCACCTTTTGGACACAGCAGCCAGTTGTAACTGATAGTCTTTTCTGTTCCTTCAGCCTGTGGATGCAGGAGAAAATCTATTAATCAAGAGTGTTGAAGGACTGGAGTTTTCATGTGTATTGACACGTGTGCATCTTCTGCACTTCATGACAGGTTGTCAGGTGTTTGGCTCCCTGGTCTTTGAATCCTTTCAAAATGATGTAATGTTTTCACTGTCGACATATAGTGATTATACTTTTGTCATGGCCTTCATATAGGCTCTTGTTCTTAGAGAGAATTTCTGATCAGGTTTAAGTGAAATAAAGTTAAATTAAAAAGGAGGGTTTTATTTTTCCACATCTCTGTTCATTTAGGGATTGTGCTTCACACTACCTGTTTTTTCTAGTATGGTTTAACAAACCCACAGTGTTCAGAAAGGTCTGAAGTTAGCAATATTTGACCATTGATCTCTGTTTTTCTCCTGTTGCTGATCAGTGGAACTAAAAATATATATATATGTTGTTCATTGATCCACTGAACTGTGGTAAGTAATAAGCATCTGGTAAAGTTTGTGTTGTAATTAAGTAAAGTGTGATGCTTAAGTGTTTGAACTTAATTCACAGGTTTGTACAGCCAGATAGCTATGCTAGCTCTGCAGAACATACTAGAGGACAATATCAAGCTGAGCTGCAGGCCCTCACCTCCACCAGCAGAGTCTGTATGACTGTGTCGATGCGTCCTTGCTCAGGCACCGACACCACTTCGTTGTCACAGATCATCTCTGTCTGAACTGCCTCTGCACTCACAGACACATTCACAGCACCTAGAGAAGCAGATTCACAGCACAGCTGTCCAGCAGGATCCAGACAGTCACTGAGGAACTCACAGCACAGCAGTAGAGACGTAACTCACCCAGGACAGAGGCTACCAGGGTCCAGCGGAAGGTCTTTCCTTGGCTGGCACACAGGCAGGAACTATACTCGCACCCTGGGCAGGGCTCCAGAGTGAAGTCAGAGGATGGGGCTGGACTCACTTTTACCTGGAGTGACAGGTCAGCACATCATCTCCCCACTCACTCACCTGGCCCAATTTATGTTACCTGTCCTCTAGTTTATGCTGCTGTCATGCTTTGATTAACGCTTTCGTATTTCTAAATGACTTTTTTGAACATTTAGAGCATACAGTGTACGGGAATTCTGTTGTACACACTAGGGTTCTGTAAAAACCTGGACAGTCTTTTGCAGACAGGGTGAGTTTCAGACAAGTGCAACAAGGCTCAAAGCCTTAATGCAGAACTGAGAAAGTTCATAAAATCACATGATACACAAAAATATCTAGAAGTATTAAACATAAGTTAATGTTTTCAGCTGTTTTTTTCTTTTACCTTAATGCAGATCCTGAGTGTATTTCCATTATAGACATTGCATGTCTGTGTGGTGCGCAATATTTAAACATCAACCGGCCAACCAATGCCGGCGAGATGAATCCTTACTTTAACCTAACTGACCAGATGGAAAAATGAAATTTGCGTTCTACAGATCCTACCCACACTTCACAGCACATCATTCTTCCAGTTCCTGATCCACCATGTACACTGTTCTCGTATTCAATATTAAATGTAAAAATGACGAGACAAATGTGTGTGAACGAGATTGGGATGGATTCCTGACCTTTTGCACCCTATCCTTTGCAAAGCCGAGCTAAAGCAGCAGCACTTGAGCCACAATGAGTAGTGAGAGCAATTATTTTCACCTAAAAAACATTAGCTCACAGTATTATCATTGCAAGGTCCTCAGATCAATATCATAATGAAATTAGCGGACAGATCAGAAGAGAATGGTCTGGTGTGAGAGAAGCCCTGGTGTAGTTGTAGGGAAGGGCGGTTCTACCATGATGCACTTGGACATGTAGTTGAAGACGGTGGCCTTGAGCTCGAACCGCTCTCCCCTGATGATGGAGTAGGGCAGGGTGAGCTCCACGAAGAAGGGCTGGAAGGTGGTGAGCCTGACAGAGGGGGCCAGGCCCAGTCCTATTGGGGACAAGCAGAACGCCCCAGCCTCCCATGTAGTGATGGTGTCAGGCACAGTGACTGGAACCTGCGCTGAGCCAGACTCCCTGTAGAGAGGATGTCAAGATGGGACAGGTATAGACATTAACTGACCTGTATCAAAGTGGTTGCACCAAATCCAAGCTCTGTGGTATCCCACTGTCGTGGGCCGCTAATGCCAGCAGCCGAATCACTCTGCAACTCACAACTAGCAACCCACTGAAGCTCAGCAGGTGTGAGCCTGGTCACTACCTGGATGGGAGACTCCTGGGAAAAACTAAGGTTGCTGCTGGAAGAGGTGTTAGTGGGGCCAGCAGAGGGCGCTCACCCTGTGGTCTATGTGGGTCTTAATCCCCCAGTATAGTGACGGGGACATTATAATGTAAACAGGCGCCGTCCTTTGGATGAGACATACAACTGAGGTCCTGACTCTGTGGTCATTAGCTGTTGTGTGGTGAGAGTACTGGAGCATCATCCAGGTGGGGCTGCATATTGGTGGTGGTGGAGGGGAGTCCCCATTACTTTTAAAGCGCTTTGAATGGAGTGTCCAGAAAAGTGCTATATAAGTGTAAGCAATTATTATTATTAATGCTGAATGAGAAGGGCCAGAAAAGCGCTATATAAGTGTAAGCAATTATTATTATTATTAATGCTGAATGGGAAGGGCCTGTGACCTATGTAACCTTGAAGTTACTATAAACTTCAGTGTGGGTGGACTTTTAAAGCATCTAAACATGTGCCTGTCTGAGAACCCTGCAGATGAATGCTTGGATATCAATGCCTGAGCTCTCACACACAAGCAGCTTAATGCTTTTACAGAACATGTTGTTGACCATTGCAGCCAGGATTAGGAACAGTCCTGCAGTGCACTCACCCAACTGGGACAAGGTCCCAGAGCCAGGTCTCAGGGAAGAATGTTCTGACCGTCTCCACAACTGGGATTGGCTGAGGGCTCATCATGAGTCTTTCTATTGAAGGTGATAAAAGTCTACCTAAAGATAAGAAATGAGGTCAGAGCACTGAGAGACTTGTATAACACTAGGCATGATCATTAATCATTTGTATTGAGTTCCTAACAGCCTTGGCTGTGTTTTCCCAGCTCTGTTCTTTATGCCTAGAAGGATGCATATGAAGCAATCCAGTGACTTTCATGTACATTTCACATGTACATCTGGGGACACTCCTTTATCTTTAGAGAAGTGCTGCTTTCACATGTTCCCAGGTGTAGTGATCTTGGTAGTTTAACCATGCTGGTCTTGTAATCACCAGCTGTTACATCAAAGATTAATGTAAACACCATGCTTACCACCATGCCAACCATACTCTCTATATTGTTGGTTATAGAAAGTCCATCCCTTGAATAGCAGGCAGTCAGGCTTTTGCAGAAACATATTAGTGATAGTCCTGATCCTCAGGTGCTGCAGAGGACAATGTGAGGAGATCAGTCCTTTTAATACCACGTTCCAAAATAACATTAGCTCTTTTCACTGCTGACAAAGTATTAAATTACAGAGCCTAGTTTTTACTAAGTGATTTAAGAACAACACGTTTCTAGACCTTTATTTATTATTTTCAAACTCACAGAATTGTTACTTATTTCATCTCCTTCATAAGCAGGATGAATAAGAAGATGCTTATCGTGATTATTTATGCAAATCAGGACCTTTGTGTCATGCTGCATTCATAGTCCTTGACCATTCCCAGGGGCTGCATCACCCTGTACCTCCATTTACCTCGATTAACGTTTCTACTACTTTTACTGCTGCACCCAGCCTGGCTTTCTCTGAGAGAATTCTATTCAAGGACTTTCCTTACTATTACACTATGCTAAGGAAGGCAACTGTCCTGATCCTCAGGTGCTGTAGAGGACATTGTGAGAAGTTCAGTCCTTTTAATTTCACTTTCCAAAATAATAATACTGTACGTGCGTACTCTTTTCTGGACACTCCACTGAAAGCTCTTTACAGGTCATGGGGATCCCCTCCACCCCCACCAGTGTGCAGCCCCACCTGGATGATGCTCCAGTCCTCTCCCCACACACCAGCTCTCAGTGGGGAGGAGAGCAGAGTGAAGCCAGTTCAGAGATGGGGGTTATTAGGAGGCCATGATGGGTAAAGGCCAGGGAGAAATTTGGCCAGAAAACCAGGGTAACACCCCTACTCTTTTCAAGACATACCCTTGGATTTTTAATCAGAGAGAGTCAGGACCTCAGTTTTATGTCTCATCTGAAGGACGGAGCCTATTTTACAGTATAGTGTCCCTGTCACTATACTTGACGTGGGCATTAGGACCCACACAGACCACAGGGTGAGCGCCCCCTACTGGCCCCACTAACACCTCTTCCAGCAGCAACCTTAGCTTTCCCAGGAGGTCTCCCCTCCAGGTACTGGCCAGGCTCACACTGCTGAGCTCCAGTGGGCGGCCAGCTGGGAGCTGCAGGGTGATAGGGCTGCTGGCAATTTAGCAATTTAGCAATTTAGCAGCATAACTTGGTACCTTTGCTCACTTCAATGCTGGCAATGTGTTAAACGACAGAGTCTATTTTTTATTGCTAAGTGATTTAAGAGCTCTATAATTCCAGATCTTCATTATTTTCAAACTCCCCTAAATTTTCTTATTCAGCTCCGTAATAAGAAGAGTGCACAAGCAATTGCTTGTTTTTTGAAAGGCTATTTTTCACCAGAGTTGTGTGCCAGTCATACTACTTTCATAGTTTTTTGAACATTTCTTCACAAGGCTGTGTCATGCTGTACTTCAGTCTACCTTTCTTAAAGTTTTTACTACTTTTACTGCTGCAGTCAGCCTGGCTTTTCTCCGCGAGATTTTCAGTCAAGGACTACTATTCCTTACTATTATACTATGCTATCGAAGGCGACATGCTTACATTGAAAGTGGTTTTAGCATTCCTCTGTGAATCCAGGTCGTGTATTATATAAGAACGTTTCTTCACTCTCACCGGCAGGCAGTCTTTGGGCTTGTCGTAATAGTAGGGGTTATTATAGGTGACCGCAATTATAGGCTGTGAATCATAGATCTGATATTGGGAAAATATGGAGAAACAAGAGATTAAAAATGTCTGACATTAAGAAATGCCTAAAGGGATGTCAGAAATCAGTATAAAATACACAGGTAGTCCAAAAAAAACATATTTTATTGCTGCCCAAGTTGTTAATTTTATTTTAATACCATTTCCGCCAGTGCACTGACACAATCAGTGCCTCTCATACAACCTGATCTGAAACTAAATTTAGTCAAAGTCTCTCACCTATACTAGACTATACTGTAATTGTCTGATCTCACTACAAAACTCGATGCCCTCTCCTGTATTCTCTACATATCTGTAGAGAAACAGATGAAAACTAGAATGGTAAACTCTTACAATATTTGCAAATACCGTATACTTGCATGTACACAACAGTCAGAGCTATGTATCTGTGCTCATTTACCATATTTTAATTGTCTGAAAACATTGATATAAATATTGCTGTTACAATGAGTGGCTAGGGTGTGTGGTGCAAGTGAAAAGGAAAGGAAAGCTTTTACTCTGGAACAACAGCTTGATGTATGAAACAATACAAGAGAAAGGAATGAAAGTGGTATCATTCACTCTACTGGGCTTAGTCATGTTTAGTGTTGCGAAAATCTAAAAAAAATTGTTTGGCCCTCCTAGACTGTGCTATTTCTCATGGCTAATCAATGTAAATGTGGGTGCAATTTATTCTTTATCGAATATTTCACTTTCTATCTATATAAAATCACCATAAACACATTGTGGAGAAAATCTAAACTAATAATATTAAGAAAATATACCTTCCCATTGAATCAATGGTTTCTATTACGGAATGTTTTCAAGGAACACAACTATCACGTTACAGCAGAAATGGCAGTACGGTATTCTTCCCCTCTGGTGACTACTCTAGGGACAGTTGCTCCCTTACACAAGGTGACATTCTAGGTCTTAGCTCTTAAATTAGAAATTACGTGCGATTTTGATTCAAAGTAGGACAACACCATAGCAGCAACTGAAGATGTCATTTCAACAATGTGTAAATCGAGACCAGCAGTAGGTCCAGCAGTAACATGACTTCAGAAGTACTAGTGTGTCACCCTCATAGAAACAGCGTGTGCTGTCGTGAGTCTTACTTTTGCAGTCAGCTCTTGCTCTGGCTCCACCAGTAGCACACTGCGGTCAATGGCCTTCAGGGCACATAGTGACCCAGGATGGGCACTCAGGTGCACAGCAGTGTCAGCTCCTGGGACAGACTGAGGGGACGCAAACTTCAGGGACACCTGAGGCACAAACATGGGAATGAAAAGCTGACACACACACACAGAACCTACAGAAGAAGAGTTCAATTGAAAAGGGATCAGGAGCAGCTTGTGCCAGGCTCCTGCAGCTCTAGGAGAAAAGACACAGTAGGATTTAGGATAAAGTTTTAAGGTTAAAAATGGGTACACCAGATTGGAACACTGTTTCACTGTCTGTGGGAATGTACATATGTCCAGAGGTTCTGGTAGGAGGTATGTAAAAAAATATCTTTGATCTGTGTAATACAGTTAGATCCTCATCCTCTCACGTGCATCTTGGGAGTCTTGCCTGTTCAGCTGCTGAACCATAGGGAAGTAGTCCAGCCTGTTCTGATGCTGGCAGGAAAGGCAATCATGACCAGGTGGGTGGGTGACGAGCCTCCCTCTCCAGCCCTCTGGGAATTACTAATAAGAGACTTGATCTCTTTGGAAAAGTTAAGATTCATCCTAAAAGGTGAGCTGGACCGTTTTAAAGATTTGTGGGATAAGCCTTTGAGAGCATTAGGTTTAAAAGAGGAGCTCAGTATATACTCCTAAGCTATTATATATAGCTATGCTATAACCTTTATGCCTTTAAATGGTAAACTCTGCGACTGTACCTGGTTTTGGTTTTATTTTTTTTGCTTGTTTTTTGTCTTTTTTTTCTTCTTTCCACTTTCACTCTTTTATTTTTTTCCTTAATTCCATTTTTCATTTCTTTTTCTTACATTCATTGTTATTCTCTTAAAAAATGTAAAAGTGTAAAAAATGATGTCTCTGCAGTGATATTTAATGAACAGAACTTTAAACAAACGGGTACACCACTGACCTGCTGACTTGCACAATGATATAGTACAGAACAAAAACTTGTGGTAGCCATTGTAAGAAAGATTTACCTTGTGTCTGAAACATTTTTCCACCTGGAAGTCTGAGCTGTGTGCGAGGACTCTCTCATTGGGCAGGACAGCATATACCAGGACATGAGCCTGCGGGGACAACTCATGGCTCACAGGCAGGATGAAGGACACCTCCCCTTCTTTCACTGCAACAGACACCACAGGCACTTCAGGCCCTTCAGAGCAGAGGAGTTGACTGCACTTGCATCACTGGGAGACGTCGAGCAGCCCTCAATGACATGGGGCACTGAGCAGGCCAGAAGAGATCAGCACTGCTCTGAAAGCCAAGCATGACAGATTCCATCCAACCCAGGCGATGTTCACTTTTGAGTGCACCATTGGTGGGCCCTCATGGATATCTGCTGGTGTGAATTTCTCTGAAAAGTACCTAACTGATTTTTCTTTAAAATTTTGGACACTCTGGAAGTCTGTGGGAATACAGCCTGGTAGATCACTATGCTGCTTTTCACACAGAATGCTAAGTCCTCCATGCGCAGGTCTTCCACCTATAATATTAACCTGACTTCTCATTGCTTAAATTGAAGGAGCTGGTTATAGCACAGTTTTATAAAAGAGTTGTCAGCCAGAGAACAGACTGGTGGACAAGGTCTCAGACCAACAGAGGACACCCTAATAACGGGGTGCCTTCAGTTATCCACACAACCCACAAACCTCAAGCATTCAGAACACCATTAGAAATACAATATGTATGTAATTGTTTAGCAATAGTTCAGTGTTTATTGGTCCTCTGTTTAGCAATTTGTTTCCCAACACTTTGCTTTTGAAACAGCTGATTAGTGATTGGCTGTAGATTAACTGACTCCTAGAGACCAGTGTGAGGGTCGGGGCGAATACGACACAAACACACCTGAACCTGCCAGCAGGGGCTCCACCATGTGTCCACTGATTGAAATGGCTCCTCTGGAAACCACCTGACAGCACATAGAGGAGAGAAGCTCAACTCAAACTCATCTGCTGCTCGACCAAGAACACAGAATAACAATTACTTATCTCCTGTAATATATTAGCTTAAAGTCTCTCGTGAGTGATCTGGGCCATTAGAGTTGGGATGTGTCCTGCTGCCTGTATTGCTGAGTGATTTCATTTGATTTTGCAGATGGGATGTTAGTAATGACAGTGATGTAAATTCCCACACTCTGCCCCTGTCTCCTCAAGCTTTAGAGAAAATTGTCTCAGCATCGGAACAAGAGCTGTCCTTTTCAGTAGGACTGTCGTAGCGTGTGTTAAATGCCATTCCTACTACAGCTAAAAACAAGTACCTGTAAATCTGTTGCTCATAACTCCGGTGTCTTCCTAGTTCTTTCAGGACTGCAGACCTCACCCCTTAAGCCCACCCTGTAGTCCAGTCTAAATCTCCTTTTAGCATTCTTAGTGGAAAGCTGTAGAAGGAACTATGTCTCAGCACCTCCATGGGTTTCTGGTTATCCAGAATATTGTAATGAATCTAGTTTCAGACATAATAATAGTATGGGGATGGCTCTAATATGGGTGAGAGATGATGTATTGGCACATGTGTTTCATTTGTGTTAATGGTCTTGAAGTGTTGGTGGGACCATCAGGCATTGTCATGTTCATGTTCCTGTCTTATATAATCATTTGCCTAATAAACTGGAGGGAGAGACTTTTGGTCAGTGGTTGCATGTGGAGTTTTAAATTTTGGCCCAGTTCTTTGTACTTTCCACATGCTACTGCTGGCCAGTATATTTCACAGACTGGATTAACTTTCATTGCTGTGCTGATGATGCTCAGCTTAACATGACACTCACATTGTGTGTCATACACATCAAACATCTGATGTTGAAAACCTTTTTAAAGTTTAACTTGGACAGAGAGGAAAAATTATAATGGGACCTCAGAATCAAAACAAGCTCTGTCCTTCCTTGTTACACCTCTACGTGCTCTTGCTCAGGCATGTGCTGTCATACACAGCCACAGCTGTACTATAGACAGGTGTTCTCTGTATTCAAGTCCCACTGTCATGGGGTCCTGCCTTTTCCCAGATCTCTGACGTGTAACTGTTTTAGGATCTCCTGCCTTTAACTTCACAGGGGCCAGGATTGTGTATGAAATATACAGGAATACCAAGGACCAACCTCAGCCTGTCTTTTTCTGAAAACAGAGAAGGAAAGAAGACCTCACATTTTAATCTATGCCCTCAAAAAAACGACTTACCAGGTAGTAAAAGTCAATGGATCCGACATCTGCCTCAATGTCTTTCTGAAAGAAAGAATATTGGGCTCTGATGGCCACTTGTGTCCCACATTGTAGTGTCTGATCAATCTTCTGGATGGAGATAAAGCTGCTACTTGGTTTATCACTGCGTGTGACAGAGTGGCTGCCTTTCTCGTACCCGGGAGCCCAAAGGTCTTGAGGGCTTGTAGAGGATTTAGCCTGCAGAGAAACAAAGAAGAGTCTAAGAGGCCTTTCTCCTTTTCCTGTGCTGATCACACCCTGTGCAAGGTGTTGCCAGTGTCTGCTCTTGTTCACTCATTCCTGAGAAACAGTGAGACTTTTTACACAGATCTACTAGGCAGTCCGTCAGAATGCCACCATTGTAAAGGGGGTTCAGGCTGAGCTGATTCCACAAGCAAGGATGAAGACGTGACTTCATAACATCTGGGTGTGTGGCTAGAATCAAGCATCAAGATAAACAGCACTGACCTCCAGCCATATTGTTGAACGTGTCCACTGCGAAGTGTTGAAAGAGAAGTGAACGATCCCTTGGCTGTCAGTGGTATCATTCAGTAGAATTTCATGTGGCCAGGAACGTTCACTGGTTACATAGACTCTGTGATTGGCAACAGGAGATGAGTCATGCCGCACCACTCTAATCTGAGGACAAGAGAAAGGCCTTATGTTTTTAAATTTGTCCACTTGCCCCAGCGTGATAGAAGAAAGCCAGACAACCCCAGGCGGAGTGCCAAAATACAGGGCTGCAGAAAAGAAATATTTTTTTTTATAAACTGAAATATGATGAATTTGATGTAACAGGACCCCGAGAAACAGAAAACACTGCAGTTACTCACTTTGCCCTGTAGGGGGATCCCCTGCTCATAGTGCTTGGCGGTATCCAGGAACTCAACCTTTCCCAACAGGTGGGTGAAGCGTGTGTCAACACCTCCTCTCCGTACCACTCCTGGAAATGGAGCACACAGACAGCATCATGTGGCAGTCCTACCGGTGAGCTAACGAGAGCTAGTTTCAAATGCCAGTGATTGATGTAACAGATAGCTTCTTTATACTCCCACCTATCGGCTTTAAATTGGATTATCTGGAACCACCAGCAGACCTGTCCCTGCAGATGTTTGAGGATTAGGGCTCACACACCTGACTGTGATGTGGCAGTCAAGGTTTCTGGTGCAACTCTTGCCTGTTACGCTCGGGCTGATGGCGGCTCACATCCCGGCACTGTCACTGGCAACCAGCGCTTTCTATCACGCGGCCAATAATTCAATTATTCTCAAGGAGCAGATTATTTAAGGCTTTCTCTCTCCTCATCCCATTGCTCTGACATGTTGGGAACTGTGCCCAAGTCCTTTTACTGGAGCCCTGAATGAAAAGCGAAATTTTCTCCTGCTACCTTTATTTTCTCTGTTCGAAGGAAGTTGTTTCTCCTCTTTTTTCCATCCTACTGGCAGGGGCCTTATCAACTTCAGCTCGAGTCATTTTCACTGGGAGTCTCAGTCTCTTAGGCAGACGGCTCATTGTTTTTTCTCCTGCGATGCTTACAAGGCAATCTGTTACCTCTCCCCTCTCCATGGCTTGCAAGCGGCCTACCGATTCATTTTTCCTTCATGCCTGTCTCCATCAATCCTTCAATTAACCTGCAACCATTTCTCCCATACCCCTCGTTGCAGCCTGACACCATCCGAAGATCCCCGAGGCTCTGAGACTCTGCATTTGGTGAATTGCAAGCTGAGCTCCATGGTCCTGAACGTAAGGCTCAGCAGCATAACATTGTCAGCTTTGCTACCTGATATCAAAGCAATTCACTGCAAAGACCGAAAACTAGCAAGGAATGAACGTGGTGTCATGAAGCTGTCTGAGATAGAGCGACAAGTTGGTACAACTTTGGACAGGTCCTGTAATTCCGAAGAGGCATCGGACTGCGACTCCTCTCTGCTGCCCTAAGGAACCATGTGTACCTCAGAGATCACTGCTGTCGAAGTTCCCCACCTGTTCCGTGTTCCTCTAGCTCACCGTACAAGCGAAGCCTGTTCTCGAGCTGCCCTTCATTCTGCATAAACTCTGTCACGTTGAAGGTGTAGGAGAAACAGCCGGTCTTGTCCGTCTATGAGAGCAAACGCACACTGACATCCTACAAACCCCAGCAGAGTTGTGGATCATACCAGATGAGGAGATTCAGAAAGTCTTTTAATGGGATAGTTAGGATTGTACAACTTTGTTATATATTTTTTCTCACTTATTGTATGTAAAAATAAAACAATAACATTTTAAACATGTTTAAGTTCCAATATTCTTCAAAACCTTGCTTTAAGAATTTATTAGATTGCCAGTATGAACTTCAGATAATTCAGATACCTGCTGCACGTTCTGGTCATTTTTATGAACTTACCTCATCAATTACTGTGCGGCAGATTGTCACATTATCGATAACGTCATGTTGATATTGACTACGTTTCCGGCACAATTCCAGCTTTGCTGTGCCAGACACTGGCTTCCCATATGTGTACCTGCAAATGGACAGGAAACAAAACCATCTCTCACATATTGGGCTTTGCTCTGCTTCTAGTTCCTAGTGGGCTCCAGTGTTGCCCATGCCAGCCGGTGCCAGGAGGGACTGTAGTTCTCCCAGCCTGTCTGGGAAGTGACAGGGATGATCTTCTCTTTTCATGGCAGGGCACCACTGGTCAGTACCGGTCCAGCGCCTGTAGAATTGATCCTTCCAGTCCTGCACCCACAGTAGTTACCTCGTTCTGTCATTTAACGGTCTTTATTAATGTGCATCTCTAGGGTGCAGGAGAAGACAAGCAGAGAGAAGTAAGAATGAAGGGAGACAAACTGTCAACAAGTAAAGGCACTGAAGAGAAATGTGTAGACCCAGGGTCAATGTGTGCATGCCAGCACACAAGTACACTTGTTTCTTCAGTAAAGAAACTACAGCACGATGTTACACTTCAGGAAAGTGTTTACTGAAACACTTTCGCTTCTTTTATTTAATGTAGACAACGGGAAAGGTAGAACACATTCAGTACTAGTGCAGAAAACATGGAAAAAGGGAAAAGGAATTTAGGTAGAAGTGAAACATTAAAAGGGAAATAGGCAAAGAAAATGGCACCATATATCCCAGGAGTTTCTCAGTCTGTCTTCTGGCTGAGTTTTGTGAATTTGCTCACTTGTTCAGCTATCGTTCTGTTCTCTTGTCACCTGGAGTCCTAGACTAACAACTCAAATGCTACTAAAAATCTTTTTTGTTCTGTTGTGTGTTAGTCATTGGTTGGAAATAGAAACTCCCTAATTGTGAGTGATTTGGATTAATATTTTGCTCATTTTCCACATCTAAGAAGGCTGTTGATTCATGTGTTCCCACCTCCATGATCATTTTGACTAGAAATTGTACTGTTGCATTTTCCCTGTCAACTGTGTGTTATTTAGTGACAGTTGAATGAACAACACATTGGTTCTAGAAACCCAGAACACCGGTTCCTTTAAATGATCAATGTTTTAAACATTAACTTACTGAAGATACATTATATTGTTTTATTCTTTATCCAAAAAATCCATTATAATACCTCTGAAGTTTACGTTTGCCATAATTGAGGATTCAGACTCACTTGCCGCAGATTTTAGCCGTGACTTCAGTGTCCAAAATGAAGATCGAGTCCGGAAGATGAGTCTCGACTTCAAATTTGGGCAGGACTGCGAACAGGAGGCAAAGAATTCGGTGTTACAGTCGCCTCTGAGATCTCATCCCCCACATGGTCTCACCTCCGTCTGTGAGGCAGCTCTGTCGCCTCCACTGCAGGAGACAGGCCAAGCTCAGCCCGAGGAGCATGGTGCCCAGCTCCAGGCGCTTACCAAACTCCTTGACTTTGAAGTGTTGGGAAACTCGTGTGCTTCCTTTTTCCAAGACTGCCAGGGTATATGTGCCTAGTCGGGCTTCTGGATTCAAGGGGAGCGACAGCTGCAAGATGCTCCCATTGGATGTTTGTTCGAGCCACTGACTGATCCTGTTGCGTGCCGGGTCCTGGGGGTTTAGAGAGAGAAGTCAGGGCGGCTTTGTCAAAACGGTACAAGCAGCACATGTGACCTCATCTGGGCTTCCCTTCTTTAGCCTTGAAGGGGTTTTGCAGATGTGAGAATCTAATCAGGAAAGGACCAGGTCACAGAACACTGCCTGGGGATCTGTTTACTTTCATTAGGAGATTAATCCATTTCAAACTAAATTCCTGGACATGCTGGTTCTTTGTTTACCCTCTTAAACTACCCTCTTGTGATTTCTAGTGCCCAACTCAATGTAGGATTTTAGCACTCATTTCCCCATCAGTTATGGTCTGTGTGACCTCTGGATCCAAAAAGGTGATTAAATGAGATTTTGGAAAAAGTCTGGAATCTCCTCCATTGGAATACTGTCCTATTATGTCTAAGGCGCAGTGGTTCTCACCCTCAGCTCCACAACGTCGTACTGCAAAAGAAAAACACAAACATAAGCAGGTTTACTTTGGCTTCACCAATTACTGTAGCTCACTAGATACAACACGCAGTACTTCGCTTCTGCACTGTACACACAGTGAACCTGCAGGTTTCCAGCCTCTCTGTTCCAGCACCCCTCCTTCCAGAAGAATGGCAGCAGCTGGCACAGCAAGTCATACAGGAAACATGAACGCAGGACAGCAGCTCCCTTCACCTTCATTCGGTCAATTTGTTTTGCTTTTCTCAGAAGCTCTTTTGCCTCTGATCCTTGTGGACAAGCAAATTTTGTGAAGCCTTCTACCCTCATTTCTTTCCCTCTTTCCTTTTCTCGTTTGTTTTTCCCCCTCATTCTGCTGCTGATGTATTGATCAGTGGAGGAGTGTGACCCTCTGACCTGGAGCTGCTGTTTGTCTTCACTGATCAAACAACAATGCTCTGACTACCTGTTTGTCCACATGGTTGCTCTAAACTGCTATCAGCAATCTTTAACACAGATGAACTCACAGTGCTGGTCAGATGTACATTGCCAGTAGAACATATGCCACAGAACTGCATTGTTGATCCACAATCTGTACATGAGGTACTGTACATCTGTTCAGCTGTACCTTCTCCAGATCAAGGGAACAATCTGCTGTTCTTTTATAACAACTTAAACAGCTACTCCTGTTGCTTAAAGGATACCCTGCAGCATGTGTCATACAGCCTGTTCAGCCCTTTCTGAGCTCCTGCCTCTTACTTTGTCCTGTTTATAAGGCAGGTCCTTCATCCTTCATCAGCAATTCCTTTCACCTCTGTTCTTCGCTCTCCCACCCACTCTGATTGACCATAAACCTCTGTAGCTGTGACATCTGTGTGTATTCCCCCTGCCCTTAGGGTACAGCAGGATTCTAGAAAGGTCTTACCCCATAAAGGTCTACTCTAGAACACCATGATACAATCAGAAGAAGCCATATTGAAACATTGTGGTAAAGTGTAGAAAGTTGAAGTAAAGCTTGCAGTCAATGAAATCCATGGCCAAATATAAGTATAAATATAACACTCTATAAGTTAACATAGGTAAACGTCCAAATAGAGAAGATGAACTGGGTGACGATGCAGAAATGAACTATAGTCAATACAATCTAGTGTTTCTTGGCTGCAATATTTACAGTGTTTCCACAGTGGTTTCTTTAAGGTACACACAAAAGGGAATAAAATGCTAAAACTGAATCACTTTCTACAGTATCTACAATGTAGATAACAGTCAGACCCTTCAGCGTGATTGGGCTGGCCAGTCGACGTGCCCCATCGTATGGGAGCACTGCCGTGGATGTAGACACGGGTGCGAACGTGCAACAGCCCCAGAACTGATCCTTGAGTTAGGCCACTCATTCGCTCACCCACATCGAGCTTCCTCTCCTTGTTAGGGCTCTCTGGCACCAGCTAGTTCTCTCTGACACTACTGCTACCACATCTGGGCATGAACTTGTACAATGTACATATAGGAAAAAATTACGTGAAGAGATTCTCACAGGATGAGATTGGAAACATACCACATCATTGACAGGAACAAAGTTCTCATTCAGAGAAACAATCCGGAAATGCACTAAATAAAGAGAGAAGACAAGACTATATAGAAATACACATTCAGGAATTCACGCAAACTTTATGTCTTAAAGTCGTTAAGAGTTCAGTCCAGTGCAAAGTTCACACAAGTTAAGAACACTGCAATCAAAGTTTTAATGATAAACTATCGCTCGAATGTCAAGTTTGTTGATTTGAACAAGATTGTTGGCACAGTATCTCCGATGGTTGTGGTGATATTACATTATGATGGCCCAGCATGTTCACACAAGTGAACAAGTGCTGAGGGTAGAAATCTCGGATTTCTATTGCAGTGCGGTTTGGGTCTGCATCTAAAAGCAAATATTTGACAGTTAAGAAACATCCATCTACTATCTCCATCTGCACTGTGTACTGTGCAGAGTACACAGAACTATCACTGTCTGATAGCTCTGTGGATTTACGAAAGGGATCACCGGTCATTTCAGGTCCATATTTTAGTCTACAGACGTATGAGTATGTGAGAGGCTATACAATTCTGTTTGTAACAGTAAGTGTATGCACGAAATGCACCCATTTCTATGTGTAGTGTAATATTTGCTTATATACAGAATATATACAGTATTTAATTTCAAAACCCCATAGAATGTCACATCCTATTCGAGTTAAGATCCAACAAGTTTATAGGTGGGGGTTCCTAATATTTTGGCCAAGTCGTGTGCACTTAGAAAGTGTCTGATTTTAGTACAGCAGATGTGAAGGTGAGGAGCCAGTGGGCTGAGCTCAGCCCTCCTGCACCCCCACATGGAGGAGAGGGAGAGTACCTGTCTGTCCTGGTTTGTAGATGGGTTTGTCAGTCTGAATGAAGATGAGGGAGCGAGAGGGACGGAAGTGGACCTCACTGCGCTTCTCCATCGTGAAGCTCTCGCCTTGCAGCTGTACCTCCACCACCTCCATCGAGTCAGAGGGCACTAGCGGACCCTGCGGACACAAAGTCACAAACCCCCTGTCTGCAGAAATACAACCACACCGATACACCCCCAGGGTCTGCAGACACACATCCACACTGAAACCCCCCACACAACCACACAACAGACCCTCACGGTCGTAGACACATGATTGCACTGATACACCCCCACAGCCGTTGACACCAAATAATCATCTCCCTGCAAGACACGTCTCAGGGATTCTTGAAGAAGCACATTTTTATAATTAATAATTCCTTAAACTTATATAGCGCTTTTCTGGACACTCCACTCAAAGCGCTTTATAGGTAACGGGGACTTCCCTCCCCCACCAGTGTGTAGCCCCCACCTAGATGATGCGACAACAGCCATAGTGTTCAAAGTACGCCCACCACACATCAGCTATCAGTGGGGAGGAGAACAGAGTGATGAAGCCAGTTCACAGAGGGATGATTATTAGGAGGCCATGATAGGTAAAGGCCAATGAGACGCCAGGGTAACACCACTAACACCACTTCCAGCAGCGTCCAGGTACTGACCAGGCTCACACCTGCTTAGCTTCAGTGGGTTGTCAGTTGTGAGTTGCAGGGTTATATGGCTGTAGACGTATTATAATATCCGTAAGTCATGTTCCAATACTGTTCTTAGAAGTTGGGTATGTGTATCTTGGCAATGGTATCTTTGTATATATATATATTTAACTGTATTTTTGCAGGTATCTATACCACAAGAGCTGAACACTCCTCTCCTGGCTCAAAGCCTTGGCACTTTGTCTGGCACCTACCATTGATGCCTGTCTAGTATGGCACTGACCTGGAAGTGCTCACAGCGGTAGAAGCCCTGTGCTGTGGTCTCCTCCAGCAGCAACCTCCTGTCCTGCCCGGAGACCAGCGAGACAGACAGACGCAGGGTCTCGTTGGGGTGGAGAAGGGTGGCACACAGTTTGGACTCAATGCCTTCAATGATCATCTCAGGAAATGTCACCATAAAGAGCCTACAGATGCAAAACACAAGCCAAACTGGTCAGCCACAGCTACAGACATGGTTCATTCACACGTTGGTCTTTGAAGAACAGAACAGCATTAGTCACCAAGGGTCAATTGCAGTGAGTTTGCTGATTTACTACAGTGCTCTGTACTGAGCTGATTATTATCCAGTACTGTAGTCAAGATCATCCTCGGCTGCCTCCTTGATTGCAACAAAGAAACTTGCAAATCAAAGTGAGAGACCAGGTGATCCCATTGTAGTTCTGTACCAAGGATTGAGCAAAATTGAAGGAGGCTGAGATTCGGAATATCTGAACTACAGTACAGTACACTACAGTATTCGGAACAGTAAACGAATATGTGGACTGACAATATATAGTTATGATTTTGAATATTGTATACAGTATATATATATACTGAAGCTAAGCGCTTGTGATAATGTTAGTTTTTAAGTACTCCAGATGAGTACATTTAACTACCTATGTGATATTCTGTTGATTTCAACACACCACAAAATGAATACAAGTATTGTGAGTTTGAATTGGATCGTGAGGTATATCACAGTGGCTTTAATTTTCATTGACAAATGATATTCTTGGACAACTTAGACTCATAAGAGACGACATTGGTCATTCATTTATGTTTATGTACATTTCTGTGTACAAAATATTGTGGACTTTTATGTGTTGCATTTGTTGTACCTGAGACTGATTTCTGTCTGGTGAATTTGATGGTTTGGGTCTTTGTTTCATACTAGAGACTTTATGTGCATTAGTAGGTGTAATGCTAATAACACTTTTCCTCATGATTAAAACATGAGACACAGGTCTATTGGATTGTGGTTTCAATTCAATATTAGTTGAATTTTACAACAAATATCCCGATAAAGGCTTCATAATATCATTGCACAGTGACAGTGTTTCAGTAATAAGCCACTACTACATTCAGAACTTTCTCATTTGATTCAGTGTGATCCTCTTAGTACAGTAGTTAATTGATTTGTTAATTTGAGCAATAGTTATACTAACTGATCCTGTACTTTATTATCCTCCAGAGAGTTACAGCTGTTGCTTTGTGTTCGTTGCAATTGAGAACATTTATAGCAGAGCTTTGGCCTGAATTCAGCATCCAGGATCATTGCTGTTGGAATTTACATAGCAAATCATATCAAGTGTGTATTAAGATAAGGAATGTCCTGTGCCCATGAAAATGTTTAAAGACTGAAAAACTGAACTGCAGCAACACTATTCATTCCACTTAAAGCTACACAAAAGTCCAGTAGGAAGCATAGCACACATCCCTAAAAGTGCTGGACAGAAAACAGCAGCACACCTTTGCAGACGGGATAAAGAGGACAATTAAATAAATATTTTTGAATATTTCAAACACCTTTAAACACAGCTTTGAAATCAAGTTGCATCTTCACAGGAGCAACCAAAATGAGTTTGTAACAAACTCTTAGTGTCACAGTTGTTAATCTATAGAGCCTGTTGGACAGCAGGAGTGGACTTACGGTGGTGTGGACGCCTGGCAGGTACAGAGCAGTAGGCAGGCCAGTGAAAAGCCCCTCCACATGGTGACAGCAGACTGCAGCGAGGGAGCCAGCAGAGGGAAACAGGCAGATCTCCTGGCAGTGCTGCTCCAGGACTGACCAGCTGGAATAAGACCACACCACTTATCCAAGAGGCGTTCCTCCCATCCCCCAGTTGCCTTCTGTAACGTCCCGTAAGCCTCCTCCTCCTCAGGTCCAGAGGACCAAGGGCACAGAGGTGATTGACCTGTGTAATCAGATCAATGAGTGGGCAGCGCCCACAGCTGTACAGCAGTGAAGACTCCGGCTGACCAGATTAGCAATTTAGGGGTGTGTGAATTCACAGAGGAAGGCCTGCACACCAAATTAAAAGGAACCCATAGCACACACCATACTGTGAAGACAGAATCAAGGCACAGGCAGGGAAGAGCTCCATATGACCACAACTGTTTTTTTCTTAATAACTAACCACAGACACATGTCTTTATTTAAGGTCAAGGATCAGATAAATGGCTTTTCTTTACCTAACAAAGATTAGGAGGTGATATGCACTTTAATGTGATCTATGTTGGGAGGCAAAGCTGTTCTATAACAACAGTCATCCAAGTTGCCCGGGGCTGGGGAAAGTCTGTTAAGAATTAAAAAATCCATAGCTAACATCCATTTTAAAATTATCCAGGGAGAAATTCAATCATGGACTGAGGTTTTCCTGTTTTGGATTGATGAATAAAAAGGCTTGGGCTTTGAAACCCAGCCAACTTTGTGATGTCAAACACATCCTCTCCTTGGTGGTGCTGCAGCCCTCACCAACACAGACTCCTCAACGCCCTGTTGCTGCAAAGCCGAGCTGAAGCGCACTGGGGAGCAGAGAAGGTGCTCGGACCCAGGCAAGCAGGGGGCAGACAAATAAGTCTTAAAAATAGGAGGGGAAGAGGGGAAGACAGAGAAATCCTGGATCACTGCTTGGGACAGACATACTTGTCAAACAAACCCCATTCTGTTGAGGCTCAATCTCTCCTGCTCTTTGCAGAGCAGAGAGGACAAGCAAGCCATGAGGGTGTATCTCTCCGCCACACTGGCCATACTCCAGGTGGGTAAGTATCTGCTGCCTCCTAAGGATTCTTTGTTTCAGCTGATCCGTGCTTTGTGTGAGCTTGATGTGCTTCTCGTTAACTGCTCATTTCTGTTTTCCCTGTCTTGGGAATAGGCTCCCAAGACTGTTGCCTGCCTGCTTCCCACTCTCCTTGTTTGTTCCTCTTCCGCAAAAATGAACGTCTGTCCAAACAGTCTCCTGGGCGAGACTTGTGAAGCAGGAGAATAGAGGTTATTGCAATTCCTACTGTCCTGATGGGGACTGGGGTTGGTTAATGACTAGATCTTCTGAACCTTGACAACATGCATTTTATTTTTTTAAAGAACACTAATTCATAGTTGTGAGGTAGTTTTAGGTTCTGCATTTCTGTTATGATCACTAGATTTAATGGGCTGATTTTAGTACAAAAACCAAGGGTGTCTGAATGCTGCTATCAATGCTTTAGATGCCCTGGAGTCGAACTGTTGAGTTTGTCTTTCATTATCAGTTCTTCTACACAACTGGACATGTTGAACTGTTTCTATAATAAATGTCTATTAAGAAGCACTGATTTCAGCTGGTACACAACATCGCAAACCCAGGCTTCCTCCCAGGACTGGGGCTATGGTGTCTCTGATCTGCTATGTAGATGTGTAAATTGAGATGGATGTTGTATGTTGTAAATTCCTGGTCTCTCTGTGTGTGTTCTCTTGGTCAGCCGCAGTGCAGTCTTCAGTGGAGGTGAAACACATCCAGAAATTTTCCATCTGCCTCACCAAGGAAGATTACCTGAGGATGGACTGTGTGCCTACATGCAGCTCTGTGCCTTACTTCTGCTCCTTCTTGGAGAACGGGATGCTGATCGGCAGCACGGACCCAGGGAGGTTACCACACCCCAGCTACAAGCTCAGGTCTAACCTCACTGTGGCTGCGGATGGCTCATGTCGCCTCACTGTGACCGAGCAGCTGGGCCTGGCCAACAAGACCTACTTCTGCTCCTTGCAGATAAAGAAGAAGTTGAAGAAGGTGAACAGACACAAAGACGCGCAGAGAAGGACAGGAACCTCAAACATAACTCTGAACAACGGTGAGCATCCTCTGCTCCTGTCTGATCTCAGGCAGACGTATGCTCTGCATTCCAGACACTGTCTCTCTCTCCCTCCCGTGTTTCCATTCCTGTGTGCGACGATTTCCCATTTACACTCCTGCTAGCTTTAATCTTCCAAACAGCACACAGGTTGAACATGATTTTTTTAAATATTAATATTAATTAATTATTTGTTTTTAATATTCCATTCAAAGGGTGCCATTTATCTGACATGCTGACATTGTGGTGATGAATTTGCTCCTGCTCTGATCGCTCTCTCGTACGCAGGGACTCTCCCCCGATGCTCGGGGCCCTCTGCGCCCCACGCGCTCCTCCAGGAGTTGATGCTGCTCGTGCTGCTGTCCACGCATGTGGCAGCTGAGCTCCTGTGAGCCGGATACGCGCTGCCCCTCCGGGCTGGGAAATCAGTCTGCTACCACACTCGGCGGCCATCAGTAAATCTTTCCCTCTTCACGCCTGTACATGCAGGAACAGTCCAGAAATGTGAACCTTGTTTTGTCAGAAAATTCCCAGATTTGTCCATGTGTGCTTCCCTAAATGGACAAACGAACAAACTGTCAAACAGGTTTCCCTTGACCTGAAGTGTGATAGTAGCCTCATGTTCTTGTAAATATTATGACTTAAGAAAGGCAATATCTGCAAAAGTTAAAGTTATGAAAGTATTCATTGGTTGTGGCTTTTAAAGCTCTCCTTTATAGATTTATATGTTGATCCTAGAGAAACTGTTTTAAGGTGCAGATAAACAGACTGTTTTTTCTAGATTAGTATTTGTGTTGCTTTTCCACAATAGCAAGTTTATAGGTTGCAGACTGACGTGTAAAAATGAAATCATAAATGACACTTGCCTAATGGCACTTCTGCTAATTCTAACTTGCTTCAGTTAGAATACCAGAACAAACACGGCTGTTGTGGGCAGCTAGTGTCGAAATCATAGCTGTGTCACCTTGTGGTCATTGCTGTTTTTTGTCAATACTTTTCACAGAATCCACATTCTCCTCAGCCTGCATATATTTAGTCCTTAAACTAGCAGTAGACTTTCAGATAATTGTGCATGAGGAAATACTAGGGTTTATTTCAAGTAGGAGATAAGATATGTACTAGACTCAAGAGTGTCACAACCCTTACCAGGAGTAATTGTTTTGGGTTTTTTTGGATAATGGATATAACCATTAAAAGCTTTGGTTTATAAGAATCCTTCCATTTTCAAACCGCTTCTTCCAATTCAGGTTTGCGAGGGAGCTAGTGCCTATTCCCAGCAAGCATGCTGTTGCAAAAAGCATGTTGCTATTGCAATTATAAAAGCTTTTAACACATTAATAAAAATAGCTGGACTGATCTTTGAAAGCCTTGCTTGATGTTTCCCACTTCAAGATGTCTCTTTCCTGAATCTCTGATGACTTCTTAAACCATAAGAATCCTTGACAGTGACCAGACTCCTGCATTTAGACACTGAACGCAACACTAGGGGTAGTCAACAGTACCTGCGTGGCACTATGCGAGGGGTGAGATCTAAAACAGGGGCTCAGGGCTAAGTGTCTCTGGGGCAGCAGGTGTTAAACCACAGCAGGCCCTGTTGTCTCTGCAAGTCCCTTTGGACAGGGACATCAACCAAACAACACATTGAGGCCTGTCCTCCGGCCCTTCCCCATGACCTGGAGCTGTGCTGTGTGGCTCCTCACAGCCCCCTGAGTCGGGGCAGGGGATCCCCACGAGAAGACGGGCGCTACAGGAAGTGGCGACTCCACTTCGACCAGGTCTTAGACAAGGCTTTGCAGTCTTTGGACACATGGTTTAAGCAGTTGAAAAACATGTTGATTTATTTGGCTTTTCGAGTACATTTCAACAAATTCCAAGTAGGAATTACAAAAACGTGCTGCTGATTTGGAAACTGCGCTAATAGATGTCAGGCTCATTCAGGAAAACAAACGTCAAGTCTGTAAAGTTCGCAGATTTAGATGGTCATATGCTGGTTGAGGAAATTGAAGCACTGAAGCCAGTTCTCCCTTCTTCATACATTGGAAAGCCTTTGAAAATCCAGGAATTCCTTGCTTCGAATCAGGATTTCCAATTTTTTTTTATTGCTCTCTGTATATTTTTGACAATTCGAGACACAGTGGCAGAGGGGAAAGGAGCTTCTCCAAATTAAAATGGATCAAATCTTATCTAAGGTCAAACACCGTCCAAGATAGACTCAACAGCCTTGCAATATTATCCACAGAATGATGAAGCAAAAAAACTAAATTTCGACACAATTTTGAAAGTTTACAGAACAGAATGCAAGAAAGATTTCTTTATAAGTATAATTTTGTTTAAGCACGTTTTATGTCAAATTATAAGATAATAAATATAGATATTGTTTTATTTTTAATACAATGTAATAGCATGTTTTCCTGATACCTAATTTTAAATAAAATGAAGTCCAGGAGGACCCATTAAAACGGTCCAAATCGGGTTCTGCAATTGCTCAGTGCGGCACTGGTCGCCAGCAGGACATTTGCCAGGTGCAGAGCTCGACTCCGCGCGCTATCCTGTGGGGAAATATCGAGGTACCTTTGCAGTTAAATAAAAAAAAACAAGATGGGAGGGACACGGCGCTCTGCCTTCTTGTCTCGGCAAGATCTTCACAACCCGTCCCGCCCCGATCTAAAAACTCTCTTCGACAACGGACACGCCATCGGGATCAGAAGGTAAGATTGGAGACCGTTCCTTCAGCGGAAAACCCATTACGATCTGAAATTGCAACTATAACTCAGACATGTTTTAGGGATTATTTTAAAGATATACTGTAGCGGGATAACACGGATAGTACGAGTTTATTCACAGTTTTTTTACGTGCTCAAATTAATTGCTTGACAGCTGCTTAAAATGGAAAGAATTGTGTCTCTAGCATTGGGCAACGCTTGCGAAATAGCGAAATACATATAGTCGATGAAAATGAAGCGGCCGAGACCGAGCAGCAGGGA